CCCAGGTAATACAAAATGTGAGCAGCAGCATTGCTACCAGCTGTATATTTGAGTGCCAACAGCTGCATGTTATACTGAGCTTGAAACTGTTGGCATGAGGGAGGCATGCTTAGAGCATACTGGACAAACTGGGTTTTATCTATTAAGTAGTGTTTAAGGCACCATCTCAATTCTATTGTGGATCAAAATGAAACTGAAGTAGGAGAGAGGTACCTAGCTGCACAGGCTGGAATGCTTCTCCATGTACTCAGAAGCCTAAGTTTAAGCACCTTGGATCTTTTCAGGCCAAAATTTAGTTGTTGAATGAATTTAGGCACCCAAGAGGTTTACAACCACCAGAATAAGATTATTCTGGATTGCTTTAGGGGAATTAGGTACCTAATTCTACATTAGTTTGAGAAAGTCCCCTTGTTTACTGATTTGATCTTGGTTCTATATCTTGTGCATTTTTGAGAAAAAAACTTGTCCCAATTTAAATGACTGAAAATTGGAGGTTTCATGCCTATTAATTACACTGCTACACTGAAAAGAAAGACTATGAGGTATTATGACTAATTCCTTTTTCTGACTTAAGGGAGAAGGGAGTAAGGTTGCTGACAGTGACTGGAAAAGAGGAATATTTGAAAATACTCCAATTAAGCTGGAATTGCCCAAACCTAAGGGCATTTGTACACATGATCTTGGGGGGGGGAGGGGGGAGTGTTTTAATTAGAGTGGTTATGACAGCTACTTTAATTAAAAGCACCTGGAGAGTCTCATGTATCAGCTTCCCCACACTTCAGAATGGTGGTGGAGCCAGTTGATATAAAGCTCATACAATGAGCTTTAGTTAAAGCGCCTCACCACCATTTTGAAGCATGGGGACACTGGCACATGAGACCTGGAGGCTGGCTGAAGCACAGTAATTACCACGCTCCAGCAGACTCAATCAACTGAATTTTCTCCAATGCACTGTAATTACAGCGTATTGGAGCAGTCTCCAGGCTCATGTACAGGAACCCTAAATTTCCTAAAGCTGAGAGTAAACCAAGATAATCATTGTCAAATGTTTCCTAAGCAACTCCCAACTGGCTTCTCAACTTCAAATGAATTAGTCCCAAAGTAGAAAAAAAATTCTCAGTACCCTCTATCAAAATTGAAATTAAAAGTTACTACGACAAAAACTTTCCAACATAATACAAGCTGAAAAATACTTCTTCATGTGCTCAGATGCCTAAGTTTAGGCACCTTTGGATCTTTTCAGGCCAAAATGTAGGCAGGAACTGCTACCAAATAAGCAACTTTAAGATTTTATCCTGTGTCTCACTTGCACTCAGTTTTGACAGTTATTGAGATAGCTGGCGTGTTTATACACACCCCCAACTGCAGAGTTGTTACTGCACAGTCATTTAGTATTTGCTTTACTGCACAATCCTGGTGGCACATGGGTTGTTTCTGACCCTACTGAGCAGTAGCACTGGTGTCAGGGTTTGTGCCTGCTGATGCTACATAGCCATAGCAATGAGCTATGTCATTGTAGCTTGTCATTACAGTGACATAGCATCTTGTGTAGATGCGCTCACTAATTAAGTAAACTACTCCAGGGGAGTCTCTTAAATACAGGCCTTTCTGGAGGTTGCTTGACACTTCTTCTGGGATAATTTTGAAAATTATTGTTGAGGTGGAAAGTAGATTGGTTACATACATAAAAATATTCTGTGAGGATGACCATGATCATAACTATAAGAACTCTCATTTTCTTAAAAAGTTTAGAATAGCCTCTTGAAAAATAGGGACTAATTTTTTAACATTCTGAAGGAATGTAGCCAAACCCTGAGTTTTGTTTCATCTGAATGGGATTCTTTAATTTAAATTAAATTATTTTAATATACTTTTTCTTTAAAAATATTTAAAATTATGTTTGAAATTATGACTATCTTTAAGGCATAAATCTACTATAATGTCTTCAAACCATTTGAACAAATAAAAATAAACTTTATCAATAAGTCCTAAAAATTGAATGAGTTAATGGATGCTGTTTTGTTAAATATACACAGAATCAATAGAAAATACATTTAAGTTATAACTGTTGTACTGCAGTAGCTTTAATTGCTTATATTGCTATTTTTATAAGGAATTAATTAGCCATTAAGATGAACTTTATCTTGTTATGATTTACTTTTCATAATGTTTTAATCCGTCATTACTGTTCTGGAATTAACCATCTATTCGAAATTTCCTATTGCTTAGCATAAATACATTTGACCTATTGGTCTCATTGTTTTAGAACTTAAATTTAGTATAAGAAAGATGGTTATACAAGGTCTGTGGTATGTCTGACATGCTTGAAAAGTGGTAATGAAAGAATGAATGATGTATGTGACAATGTGAAGGAAGATAGTCCTATCGCAGCAAGCGAAAATAGCCTTCTGTGGTTTAACAGTTAAAGGTTGCAGCAACATTGAGTCAGCAGTTAAGGATTACCAAATACTAAATCATGCCTTCACCCTGATGGCTGAAGACTACAAGCAACAACCTCTCTGAAGATTGCAGACCATAAAGCCAGAAGAACATGTCCTACCAATCCCAGCCTGCCAACAGGACAAGGAGGATGACCTTCATGTCTGACTCAGTGGAATCTATAGGCTTGTATGGACAGCTATCACTATAAAGAATGAACACAAAGAAAAGGCTTTGGGTCTGTCCACCTGCAAGACTGAGTTTTGGGTGCGTCCAACAAGACCTGACTCCATTCCTCGTGGTCAGTCCAGCTGGCCACCAGACTGACCCAAGCATCTTCAGAACTTGGTAATACCTTAACCTTTGCAGGGCTGTCTAACTATCTGTGTGTGTGCTTGTTTATTTTGTATGAATGAACAAAAGAATGAGTATGTATGAGAATGAGTGAAGCAGATAACCATACTGTTCTTTATTCTTTTTATGTTGTATGTTTTGTGTTCCAATAAATGTGGCATTGTGCCTTATCCCCTCATAAGATTCCTGCTTGTTTTTAATTCACACTGTATGCCCTTTGGAACAACATAACTCTCATTTATAAATAAGTCCCAATGTTATTACATGCTACCTTAGGAAATTATCTCTATTATTTCAGTTTTATAACACAGTGAATGCTGGGATGTATATGTTCCAAGCATAATCTTAGCTTTTATTATATGGAAGAGCTTTTGTCTTGTTAAGTTTTCATTTGAGTTTTGAAAGAATGTACAGAAAAAATAGTCTACTGATTAATTAATTCAAAGTTGAGAAACCAATAAGGAGTTGAAAAAAGCATGAAAGTTTTTTTTCTTCTTCCATTCTGTGGGGAAAAAAATGAGATGCGAGAGGTTGAGATCTACTAGTTCTAAAGATCTGTATGAGAAAGGTCATATTTTTAAAGGTGTGCTGGCACATCAATATATAGACAGACATCTAATTCAATGTTTTAATATGTTTAGGTAAGTTAGGTATCTAATTCACGTTGAAATAAATCAGAATCAGGAATATAATGTACTTACGAACTTCACACAGCTAATTTCTATACCCTAATCACATCTTTAGGTATGTATATATTTTTAAAAATCTAGCCCACAGTAACCAGAAAAAAGTCTTTCCATTTACAAGCTGCAACTAATACTTCCTTTGTTTAATAAATCAGTTAGTTTTACATGCAAATATTTTTTAATGTATTCTTTTGCATATCCAACATATTTAGGCTATGTTAATAAATATGTTGATGTGCATTTTAATTAAATTCCAATTTACAGCCAAATCCTGACCAATACAAATTGTGAATAAAAATTTATCGCTTTGCAGTGGAAAATGGTAGATGATGCAGTTCTTAATGTAATCCAATATTTGAACAAAGAAATATGAAAATTAAGTATCTGAAAAAAATCTTTGTTGACTTATATAATTTCTTTAAAAATGTACACAGTGCAGACTCTAGTTAGCGAGAAGTACCCAATTACATTTATAACCTATATTTACTTGTAAAACAGTATGTTTACAAATGAGAATGCACTTTGTTTTTTTAGGAAATTTAAGAAGTATCATTTCAAACCAACATTAAAATAAATTATTTAAATCAAGAGTTTCTGCTTTTCAGTTGGTTTGTACAAAAATGCTGTGCACCCACTCTCTTGATCTACACCTTCTTTTGACACATTGATATGTAAATTAATTCAGATTAGTTCCCATTCTATTTGTGCATATATACTTAACAAGAAGTTGGTGAAATTCTAAGGAAATCTACACTAAGTACAGTTAAAGCTTACAGTTTATTTGCATGTTATTTACCTTAATTTAGATCTCATTAGGCCAGCTCATACCTAGTCCAAGTGAAACAAGTATAGATAAACCAAATATAAAATAACTGGAGGCATAATCAGATCAAAAGAGAGGATCAATAGGCCAGAGTGATAAGCCTACTGTAAAGACAGCTTCAAAAATAGCTGACTACTTTAGACTCCTTAAGAGAGCCAATTTGGACTTTTGAACCTGGAAAAAGTTACAAACGGAGAAATCCAAATAGAGTTTAACAACAGCGGGGTTTATATCCGCCTACAAATTGTGGGGAACAGACGCTTCCTAGCAGTTAAAGACATGTTAACCTAATGGTCTGGGGACTGTTTTGACTTCCAGCCAATGCAATTAGGGATCTGCACAAAATTACAGCTGTCCAGTGCAAAGAGAATTATCACAGTACTCTGCTGAGGTGTGTTCTTCCAGCAATACTGTGTCCAACTGGCCAAGGTTTAATTTTGCAACCTAACATTGATACTAAACATTTGTCCAGACCCTAACAAGTATTTGTAGAAAGAATGGGACAGTCTGTTAAACCTATAAAATGGTCAGTATTGCCCTCATATCTGTCATCTACTGAATGCATCTGGGATGAGCTGGATAGAAAAGCAAATTTTTAAAATATATCCACAGAACACCAAGTCTTTTCAAAAAGCTCAGAATGAACTGGATCAACAGATGGGACTTTGGGGGAGAAGGGGGGCAGGAGAAGAAAGAAAAGGAAAGAAAGCAGAATTCTTTGCATGTGCCAGGCTACCATGCCAAAGGGATTTTTATTTTATTTTTTGACTGGGTAATAAAGAGGACCATAGCAGTTTTTCTTGAAACAACTGAATAAAATATTTGATCTGGGATTTAATTAGCAAATGCTTTGAACACATCTAGCTATACTTTGATGTAAAATAAAGTAACTCTTCTTTAAACATTTCCAGTCCAGAATTAAAGTGTTCAGCTTGATCCGAAGCACTGAAGCCAGTTGAAAAACTCCTGTAGACTTCAATGAGCTTTGGAATAGACCCTAAGGGAACACAGTCAGCTTTAACTTTCTATGCAACGCACATAGATGTGGGAACATAGTCAAGTGTGGCCCAGTAAACCTTATTACGAACACAATTTATAGCAGAACAATTCTACTCTGCCAGATCCATCCTGCAGTTTAACAGAACTTGTGGTTAGAATTCCTCCTCTTTAGCATTAGAAAAGCTGTAGCAGGATATTCCAGCCTTAGTAATAGGTCAGGGCTTTTCTTCTTATGTTATTCATAAGGTGATTTTTTTTTCCATGAGTGGCATTTCCTAGATTATTGAGAGTATGTCCTAGGATGTATTTGAAAAATCCCACCAACCACCCTGACCATGCTTCACCAGGGTTTCTGTTGCTAAAGGCCTCCCCTCATTTTAATCCCCTTCTGTGTCCCATTTCATCTTATTTCTTCTTTAACTTTCTAATGATTGATCAGAAAAAAACATATACCGAACTGCTCTGTTAATACATCAAACAGGAGGCAAAGTATCCATTGAGTTTATTTCTGGGTAAACCTTAGAGAGCCATCATTAGTTTTGACCTTGATATTATAAGCAATTATAACCTCATTATAAATTGCAGGCCATAAAATGAACTTCATCCAGCTTAATGTGACTCTTTGCTTATGCCTTGCAACAACAAGCCACTTGTTAGCATAAGGTATCTACTACATTTTATATACTGTTGTATATATTTTATGCCAGACATATAAAAAAAATTGAGAGATTATAGTAAAATGAAGTTAAATTCAGATTTAAAAAGGAAAAATAGTACTAAAATTGAAGTTTCTTGGTTTCATTACATATTAATTTGTTTCGTATCTTCAGTGTTTACTTTTTTAAAATATTGCAATTTGTGCTTAGGAGGAATGATTTGCTTGTAATGGTTTAATCAGTGTTTTAAAAAGACAGTTTTTTCTTGAACAACATTATTAATTGTCTTATTACACTAGCACCTAGAAGCCCCTTTGGGCAATTCTTTGCAAATCCTGAGTGAAAGTCTAATCCACAAAAAAACTTCAGTCCAAATGGATTTGGTATAGAGAAGTGATTGAGGAAATTGCTCCCCTAACCCTCGAAATTCTTGTGATCTAAGTAATAAGCATCTGGCAAGCATAGCAGAATAGCAAAAAAACCCATCCAATGCTGAAAAAAATGGTCATGTGAATCATTTCAGCCCAGAGTTTCTAAACAGCACTGTTCTTCTGTTGGCATGGGAGTGAGGGGTAGGGAGAATAAATCAACCACAGTAAGGTAGTACTAGGGTCTTCCATCCACTCTAATCACCTAGGGGAAGGGAATGCTGATCCACTTCTAGCAATATAACACTTTATTCTAGGTTAAAATTTGAAATGTTAGCTAGGCAAGTCCTCTGTTACCGGAGAATTTGATCAGCTGCTGGTTGTATAGCAAACTGGCTGGACAAAAGACATATCTCTGTGTGACTGGGCACCAAAAGTGAAATTCTGATTCCACTGAAGTCAAAGGCAAAATTCTTGTTGACTTTCATAGAGCCATGATCTAAACCTCTTTTAAGAATTGTCTACATTCTTCCCTTTCCATCTCCCAAGCTCCTGAAATGTGAGAAAGCAGCAATTTCCCTCCCTACAAGGGTGCTGCCACCACTCAAATAGCACACAGAGAGAATTTGTAAGCAGGCCCGAAAGAAAACCACACATAGCACTTTTCAAAATGGACAGGACATTTAATGAAGCTTTTGATGGTCACTGAAAAAGGAATGAAGTCCTTGAACAGTGAGCAATCTGCTTATCAGTACAGTTGTGCCTCTCAATTTAATGAAGTCCAAATGCGGGGCTCACTATGGCACAAACTAGGTGCAACAAACAAGAATAACAATCCCATGGGAGCATTTAGATGCTCTGAGATTCATTGCTTGAATATAAATAACTCTTCTTATAACTTTATTCTCATGATGCTTTCTGATGTAAACTAATTCCAACAACAACAACAGAGGGGAATCCAGATCTTTTTTTAGGATGCTGAAAAGAAAATGAATGACAGCTCTTGAAATGAGGTACAGCTGAGAGGTAATGTGGGTACCATAGAAAGCTGAAGTAGTAACAGAACTGTGAATAGCCAATAATCAACTTCAGTTTCCTTGTGCCAGTTTAAGTTTAGCAAGTTCCAGTCAGTTTTAATTAATGCTGCTAAAGGCAAAGGGGCTCACCTCACTCAGAGTAGAAGCTTAAAGCTCACTGAATGGCTTATTTATTCTGTATCATCACTGCTTCTCAGAGAACTTTTCTACAGCTACCCCCAGCCTTTATGGTGCACATACTGACACAATGTCCATTAATATAGAAATTCTAGCAAAATGTAGGGGTACCTTTGAGTACGAAAAGGCAAAGTTATCATTTTTCTCCTTTAGAAAGTGCCTCAAACATTTTCTGGGAATGAATATGATAAAAAAATAACAACACCAGTATCTCTCTCTTATATGAAGTTTATATGCAATCCTTTATATGTAATTAATTAATTTACATATAATAAATTAAAACTTACTGCCAAATTCATAGAAAAGTTACTTTCTGAAAAAAGGAAAAGTTACTATTAAACCACTGAATTAAATCCACAGTTATAACTTATATTGGACATATATTACATTGATTAATACCCTCTCAATACCCTGTCTTTATACT